AAAGAACTCCTGAATACAAAGAACTCTTGAAAAAGGACCAAAAAACCTATCGAGAAAAGGCAAAACACATGAACACCCAATCCACACATATACAAAAAGATACTGAAAAGATCTTTAAGCTTATGAAAGAAGTTCATGTGACTCATAATAATACGAGATACACAAGAGATGCCATTTTTCACATATCACACAATTAAGAAGTATGACAACACATTTTGTTGGTGAGGCTATGGAGAAACATGCACTCATGCTGGTGGTATGAGTGAGCACTGCCATAACTCATTATGGAGGGAAACTGGACAATATTTAACAAAACTACTTATATGTTTATCTTCTCACTAAGAAATCTTGCTTCTAAGAATCTTTCCTGTGGGTGGCTCAGTCAGAAGACCATGAGATTCTTTTTTGTTTTTTTAGTGTTTACTTATTTTTGAGAGAGAGAGAGAGAGAGAGAGAGAGGGAGACAGAGAGAGAGACAGAGAGAGAGAGAGAGAGAGAGTGTGTGTAGGGGAGGGGCAGAGAGAGAGAGAGAGAGAGAGAGAGACAGACAGACAGACACAGGATCCAAAGCAGGCTCCAGGCTCTGAGCTGTCAGCACAGAGCCTGATGTGGGACTCGAACTCACAAACCACAGGATCATGACCTGAGCTGAAGTTGGATACTTAACTGACTGAGCCACTCAGGTGCCCAACCATGAGACTCTTGATCTTGGGGTCAAAATGAGCTCAAGCCCCATGTTGAGTGTACAGATTACTAAAAAAAAAAAAAAAAAAAAAAAAAAAAAAAAAAAATCTATCCTGAATACACACCTCCAATGATAACAAAATACCTATGCACAATATTACTTGTAGTATTGTTGCAGAACACTGGAAATAGCCTAAATACCCATACAAAGGAGTGGCTAAATAAACTATCAACATAGAAATGAGGTACTATACAACTGTAACAAACATGAACAAGATCTGTATGAACTGACAGAGTGATCTCTACAATATGTTTCATGTTAAAGAAGCAAAGTGCAAAAGAATAATCTAGTGGATGTAATCATTTAAAAAAAGGGAGGAGAGGGTAAACAAATAGATCTGTTCATTTGTGTAAAAAGAAACAGAGAAAGGATCAACCAGAAACTAATGTGACTGGTTACCGACGGGTGGCAGATGGATACGGGGGGTGGGAAGAACGGGACAGAAACTAGGGTAGTCTGGACTGAAGGGGCTCATACTTCTCTAAAGACATCTTTCTGAATAGTTCTGATTTTTGGAACCACACTAATGTTTCATATACTCATTAAATGCATGCTATAAAATGAAGAAGAATGGGAAATAAAATACATTTAAAATGGAATATGACACAAATAAACATAAATGTGTTTCAAATGAAGAACCTAGCCAATTGCAGAGGTGTGGAAGAACTCACCCAATAAACTTTGGATACAGGCTAAGGACAAAAAGAATTATACTGATCTCTAGTTGGTAAGGGTTTGTTTGTATTTTCTTGCAGTGGTTTTATGTAGTAATTCAACAACTATTTTCTGTGCTTTCTGAGATTAAAAAAGTAAGTAAATATACTGTGGGTAATAAGAATCAGGTTTCTCAGTATTTTTTAAAATTTATTTATTTATTTTGAGAGACAGAGAGAGAGTGTGAGCAGGGGAGGGACAGAAATAAAGGGAGAGAGAGAGAGAATCCCAAGCAGGCTCCACAATGTCAACGTGGAGTCCGACATGGGGCTCAAACTTAAGAACTGTGGGATCATGACCTAAGCCAAAATCAAGAGCCAGGTGCTTAACTGAGTGAGCCACCCAGGTGCCTCCAGGTTTCTTGGTGTTGGGTAAACAAGTTACAGATATGAATAAGGAAAAGGCTAAAATGAACTTCATAGTATTAGACTACAGTGGGAGGTATGGGTAAGAATTAAGTTTAAAAGACATATATACGTACCTGAAATGGACATAATGTGGTATGCGTGTACTTCTAGCTCTGTTTATTAAGATGGAAAAGAAACAATGCCAACTTAATAACAAGAAGCTTATCTAGTACTCAGGTTTTGGCTTCTAAATATCAATCTTTGCTAAAAGAAATTTCTCCTTGAAGAAATAGCTAATTCCAAGGCTAAAGTTGAAAAAATACAAGATGAGCCTGGATTATGTTGTACTAAAACATAAAGAAATTCTTTAAAGAATTAGAGTGTCATATCAAAAGGAACCAGAAGCTGGAAGGGGTTTCAACTGGCCAAATGCGGGACAATTCAAACATCAAAATAAATATACATGACAACTAAATGCAGTATGTGATTCTGGAATAAATCCTGGACCAGAAAAACAATTTTTAAATTTTGCTATAAAGGAGATTATTAAGACAATTATGGGAATTTGAGTAAGGTCTGTAGATAGATCATTTTTGATGGTTATAGAAGAAAATGTCCTTACTCTTATAAAATACACACTGAAGTGTTTAGAGGTAAAGAGATACTGTATCTTGGGGCGCCTGGGTGGCACAGTCGGTTCAGCGTCCTACTTCGGCTCAGGTCATGATCCCACAGTCTGTGAGTTTGAGTCCCGTGTCGGGCTCTGTGCTGACAGTCGGAGCCTGGAGCCTGCTTTGGATTCTGTGTCTCCCTCTCTCTCTGCCCCTAACCCACTCACATTCTGTCTCTGTCTCTCTCAAAAATAAATAAAGCATTAAAAAAAAAAAAAGAGAGATACTGTATCTTAAACGTATTTTCAAAGATTTCAGGAAAAAGATATATGTGTGTGTATATATATATATATATATATATATATATATACACACACACACACATACACATAAAAGTGTATATATGTATGTATGTATACACACATATGTATGTATGTATGTGTGTACGTATATATATACATACACAGATAGAGTTCCAGAATGGTAAAACAAATACGGCAAAAAATGTTAACATTTGGGAAATGTGGGTGAAAGGTATATGAAAAAAAATTTTGTATTATTCTTGCAAGTTTTTCTGATCTGAAATCATTCCAAAATAAATTTTGAAAATAAATAAAATCATTTCAGATACTGACAATGGCTACTAGGAAAATAAAACATGGCAATATTACAAAGAGTAACTGGGGTGGGGGGAGTAGGGGGCTGGGAGGACCTTGCAGAGCAGTGCTTAAATTGAGAAGTTGGAGAAATTAACACGTGAGCCAAGACCGAAAACAAATAGGGACCAGCGCATCTGAAGGTCTGAAAGCTTCCCTGCCCTGTTCCATGTAGGTTGTTTTGATAAGCATTTTTGATACTTGGTGAAAGAAAAGGTAAGCATTGATATTCACTATTCCAGGAGCCAGCTTTAAAATTCAATTACTGCTCAGTCAATGATGAAATACATTTAGAAGTCTGATATGAAAAATCACCTGTTGGTTTCTCTGGGACAATGTAAATGTGTATGTAACTGGAAAAATGTTTTTAAAGAACTGTCAGGAATGTCTTGGCCACTTGACTGCCTGGAGCAGTGTGGTGCTGATACAGAAAGAACAGAGACTTTGGAATCAAAACAAATGTAGACCTTACTACTTTCTAGCTCAGTGTCTTGTAAACTTGTTAACACCTCCGAACTGCTGCCTTCTCTTTGAAAATGGGGTTACCACATTTGTTAGTGTGAGAATTAGTTGAGAATTAGAGCGATGGTATACAAGTGCTTAGCAAAATGCCTGAAGCATAGCAAGTACTCAGACAATGACAGCCCGAAACAAACGAACAAATGGCAAAGCCACACTGATTTCTTCCACCTCCTCTAGCCCTGATTACATGCGTCATCTTTTAGTTCTACACCAGGCTTTCTCAACCTTGACACTATTGACATTTTGGGCCAGATAATTGGATGTTTAGCAGCATCCTTGACTTCCACCTACTAGATGTCAAAAGTACAGTCCTAGTTGTGAAAATCAAAACTGTCTCCATACATTGTTAAACGTCCCCTGCGGCACAAAACTGCTCCCAGTTGACAACCACTAATTTACACAGATCATTAAAATGTAGGAACAACATTTAATAGGGCTAACCAAAACAAACCACCTCCTTTTTCTCAGACTGCTGAAAGTCAAATGACGGGAGAAAGAGAGGGAAATAGTTGATGCTCTATAAAGAACCCATTTCCACTGTCAAAGAACTTTGCCTACTTAAAGAGAGATTGGACAAGTTAACCTATACAAGCCTCAGTTTCCTCCTATGACTGTTGCATGGAATAAATGCACAATATAAGTAAAGTGCTTAACACAGTGTCTGGTGCAAGTGAGCACTCAATTAATGCTGGACATTCTCATTATAATTATGGTACTCCTTTTAATACTGGGCTTTCAGGTCCTACTCATCATCACTCAGCCCAAATTCCTCACTCCATACATACATTTATTTCTACTCCCAACTCTAAAGTGGCCCTAACCTCTCTTTATAGAGGCAGCTAACCACTGGGGTGTAAAAGTAGCTGAGGTGCCAGGGCACTTTGATAACGAATTCTAAAATTCTTCCCTAACCACTGACACAGGATATACATATGTAAATGAGAGCCAAGAAACATATTACTTATGCAAAAAAAGTGAGTAAAATTAATTCGTATAAAGGAAGAAAAACAGTACTAACTTGATTTCCATTAGGGCACAACTACTTTTGTAATTCATGCTAAGTAGTTCAGTGTTAAAAAAAAATGAGAACTCCTCAAGTGAATGAAATCCATTTGAGAAATTCTCTTTAAATTCAGGGTATTTTTTATGTTACAAAGTAGAAATTTCTAAAATAATTTACTGAAGACAATTTATAAATGACCATCTATGATGATCATATGCTACCTAGATAAAGGTATCAGGTAATTTTTGACAAATCAAAGATTAGGCCCGAATGAGAAGTCCTGGAAAAGAAAAAGGACTGAGAACCTACGAAATGAAATTTCAGAGAAAAAGCCATTACTATGTGAAAGAATGAGTGATGCCTTGCTGTGCAGAAATGAATCAAAACGTCATTACAGCTCACCTGGAGTTTCTGAGTCAAAGAATCTCTCTGTTCTTGTAATTCTCTGGCATTATCAATTTCTTGTTTTAATCTTTCTATTTCCTAGAAAAAGTACAGCAAGGTCTTTAGCAACAATATTTAAACTAAATCAAGAAAAGAGAAAGTCTTATTTTTTCCTGAAATCATTGTTCCAGTCCCTGGAAAAAAATAATTAAAAAAACATTCCTTTATACTGACTAAATTTTAGAGGGGTGATTTGTCTTTATGGGTATGGTGTCTACTACATGATAATCTTAAACAACAAGTACACTTGCGGGCTTTGAGACAGCACTGCTTAGAAACAACCATCAGAATATGTTATGGTTGTGGATATAATTCTTTCCTGGGATGTTAAATCTTCTGACCAGAAACCAGAGAAAGCAACAGCGTATAAAATTCATTTAACCTCTCCTGGTTTTCTGTTGATTTTATGAATGCAACTCTCATACAGAAGGCAAGAGGCAGCATCTCAGTCTGACTGCCTCATCATTGTTCATAGCAGCAGAAATAAGGAAGGAGAAAATATGAACTAGCTTAATATTAATAAAAAAAAAAACATTTCACACCCCTAAACAGCATCCCACAACCTTACTTTACTCCATAAAGTACCTGCAAATCTGACATATGCTCAAATATTTTGTATACATATGTTAACCAGATTACAGATGAGTAAAAAGTAGCAAATACCTCTTCCTTCACTTTCAGCGTCTCTTCTAGTTCTTGTATTGTCTGATTTAATTCTGTCTTATGGGTATGCACTGCATTTGCTTGGCTACTAACACATTCAAGCTCAGTCACCTAGAATGAAAGGAGAACACAGGTAAGTCATATGACTACTTCAAAGGATTTCTTGCTGAAAATACAGTAACTCCTGATAGTTAAAACATGAATTCTGAAGCGACATATGAAAATCAATTTTGAGAAATATTAAGACACTTATTGTAGAATGAATAGATTCTTTAAAGACACGAATCTAGGACAAGGAAAAAAGACTAGGGAAATAATTATTTATATGGCTTGGTCATGGGCAAAATCAGGAAAACTTAAAATTAAATGATTAATGATAGCAGAGAATCCCTATAATGAAGTTTTCTTTAAAAATTTCCTATGAAAACATATTCAAAATCAGATATAGCCATCTGCCTTCCATCTGTAGCTTTCAAATTAAACATGGCTTCTGAAAACTGGCCTTGCAGAAGTGAGAAATTTTTCAAATACATTTCCAAAATGTTAAGAGAATCTGGAAGAAAAGATATGCTTAAAAATACAACTTAAATCATTCTATTACTAGAATGACTTCATATCAATAGTGTCTCTGTGGCAAAAGATAACATTTTTTAGTCAACAACAATGTACTGAGAGCTACCTCATTTTTAATAAGCACTGGATATTTTCTGAGACAACAGAGAAGGACAGAGTCCCTAAAAGTTATCCTGTCCAACAACACTGTTGGATTTGACAGTCAAAAGAGACAGAAGTCAACATAAAAACATGCATACACCTCCAATCACAGCTCTTTACATACATCGGGAGCTCATACATTTTGGGTGACTAGACTGCAGTGAATTCTAGACTGCTAAAGAAACATAGCAAATCCTTCTCTTTCACATTTTCCAAATATCTAATTACACTCCACAGATGTCACTCTACCTTTCTTAACACTTTTGTCCTTTCTATTCATGTACTAATAGCCTTGTGCAGACCCTTATCATCCAGGCCTAAAGAACAGCAATGGCTTGCCAGAAGACTTAACTGTAATCTATTTTTACCTCTTCTGCAAACTAGCATTCATCTGTGATCTTTAACTCCCCCATTCAAAGCCTTTCAAAGGCTCTTTTTTTTTTTTTTTTTTTTTACGTCAAATCTTAACCCTCAGGTCTTGCATATACCAGTTATAAACTACTTAACTATCCTCATCATCCAAGACACTCACAGTATGTGATATATCACTTTTCCAACTAAAAGCAGGCAAGTCTCCTTGTCCTAAGAACAAACCACTCTCAGGGTGCCTGGGTGGTTCAGTCGGTTAAGTATCCTACTCTTGATTTCAGCTCAGGTCATGGTCTCATGGTTCATGAGATCAAACTCTGTGCCAGACTCTGTGCTAACAAGAAGCCTACTTGGGATTCCTTCTCTCTCCCTCTCTGCCCCTCCCTGGCTTGGGCATGCTCTCTCTCAAAATAAATAAAGAAAACTTTAAGAAAGAATAAACAACTCTCGTACCCATCTTGCTGGATATGAATGTCCTCTCTTACCTCTGAGGCCATTCAGACTTCATCAAACCCTCTACTCTCAGCTCAGCAAGCACTTTCACCAGAAAGCCATTCCTATCTACTCAATCTGTCAAGGCTCTCCTGTCCTGCGGTCCACAAAATGAAATGTATTGAAAATCTTGGGAATTATTTCCTTATTCTTCAATGTTTATTAGTTTTCTTTGTTCAATTAGATAATAAATTCCTTACGAGGAATTCCAGTTCTCATAATGATGGAGTTGTTTTTATTAAAAAAACTTTCCCATAGATAACAATGGCAAATCATGAACGAAATGTAAAATTCAACTGCTTGAATGCCCTGGTTAGTGACCAAATAGAGCAAAAGACTAAAAGATAGCCTGAGGAGCCTGATGATTTGGGGACTCCTTAGAACAGCTGAAACAGCTAGAAATTGAGGGAACTGTATGAAGAAAGCCCCAAATAAGCATAGAGACTTTTTCCAAGTCTTTGGTCAACCCTTGAACTAAACATGCACAGGTAAGAATCCAAGGAGTCCAGCATGGTGGGGTATGGGGAGCTGGAAGGCTGAAAGAGCTAAGGTGGTAGTGCTCATGCTCACCATAGAGAAAACAGTTTGAAGTTTGAGTCCCACCAAATTAGAGGACATTGGTTATCACCTCAAGCTTTCCACTGAAGCATCCGAAGGGTTACGCCTTAGAAATAAAGATTTCTCAGGACTAGGGGATTCTCCAGAGGGTTAAGGGCAAAATTAAAATAAAACAACTCTAATAATGAAGCATAAGTCCACACCTTCACAAATTCGAGGAAATCTGTAAGTCATTTAACTGCTTGCTCAAATAAAAAACATCATTCAGGGGCGCCTGGGTGGCGCAGTCGGTTAAGCGTCCGACTTCAGCCAGGTCACGATCTCGCGGTCCGTGAGTTCGAGCCCCGTGTCAGGCTCTGGGCTGATGGCTCAGAGCCTGGAGCCTGTTTCCGATTCTGTGTCTCCCTCTCTCTCTGCCCCTCCCCCGTTCATGCTCTGTCTCTCTCTGTCCCAAAAATAAACGTTGAAAAAAAAAATTTTTTTTTAAAAATTAAAAAAAAAAAAAAACATCATTCAGAATAAGATGAGAGCATCTATAGGCAGCATAGCATCTAATTTTTAATGTCTAACACACAACTCAAAATGAGTACACATGTGAAGAAATAGGAAAACGCAACCTGTAGTTAAGTCAAAAAGCTGTCCTTATACCTGGCCAAAATTGCAAAGTTAATTCAGGCCAGTGGGAAAGGATACCTTGATGGAAATCAAATCTATAAAAAGGAAGGAAGAGCACTGAAAATTATAAACATGTGAACAGAAAGATTTCATTTCTTAAATCTTTAAAATTCAATTAATTATTTACAACAAAAATTCCTTAAGGGCAAGGATTACTCAATAAGGAGATATGATAGTTTTTCAATGAATATTTATTGGCTCATGAGTTAACTGTTGTGAGTTAATTTTTTTTATTGTGGTAAAGAACACATAATTAAATTTATCATCTTACCATTTTTAAGTGTACAAGTATACTCAGACCATTGTGAAAAATATCTCTAGAACTTTTTCATCTTGCTAAATGGAAATTCTATACTCATTAAACAACCTTCTTCTTCTTCCTCTTAAGTTAACCTTTATACATATAATAGGATGATATTTATTCAGGTTTCTTACTCTCCCTCCCTGTGTCTATTCCATTTCTATATTATTTCCCTTGTCATTCTGGTCCTATTACATTCCTTAAATTGTGCTCTGGTAGTAAGACAATTTCCTATTGTCTATGAAGTTCACTTGTTTGGCATCCTTTCTAAAAAAGGAAATTAGTGGCATCTGCTTCCTGTTGGGTAAATGTAAATGCTTTGAGCACAAAAAAAATTCTTCACAAGTAATTGTTTGGGCTTCTGATATTATTTATACTGGGGTTTCTGATTTTCTTTTCCTATATGAATTTCAAATGCAGGTGCTCCCCCACTTTCTGAGAGCTTGCATTTATGCCACTTCACTTTTATGAAAGACCTAGATTAGTATGGTAATGGTGTTTTTTGGTAAAACTGAAAATCATCTTCAGATTTCTGTCAAGTAGCAAAAACAGATACTAATGTAGGTCTTTTGTAAAAGTGAAGTGATATGATGTGAACTTTAAAGTAGGGAATAGTCTTTGCTTTATGCCACTTGAGCTTAGGAAAGGTTTCACAGTAATGCTTTATTTTTGGATAGTGGGGGAAACCTGTGTAACTGACTACTTTTTCTTAAAATTTTTTTTCATGTTTATTTTTGAGAGAGAGACAGATCGAGAGAGAGAGAGAGAGAGAGAGAGATCGAGTGAGCATGAGTGGGGGACAGGGGGACAGAGGATCTGAAGTGGGCTCTGTGCTGTCAGTAGACAACCTGATGCGGGGCTCGAACTCATGAACCATGAGAACATAACCTGAGCTAAAGTTGGCCTCTTAACCAATTGAGTCACCCAGGCACCTCCCAACTTTTATAAAGCGTTTCCTACCTGTATGTTTTAAGTTGCTCTTTAAAAAAAATCTTTTTTTAATGTTTTTATTTATTTTTGAGAGAGTGACAGAGAGACAGAGCGTGAGTGGGGAAGGGGTAGAGAGAGAGGGAGGCACAAATCTGAATCAGGCTTCAGGCCTGTCAGCACAGAGCCCCACGCAGGGCTCAAACTCACAAACTGTGAGATCATGACCAGTGCTGAAGTTGGACGCTTAACAAACTGAGCCACCCAGGCACTCCTGTTCCTTTTTTAAAAAATAAAAATAAAATAATAAAAGCATCTATCATTAACTCAGTGCAACTAAATGTCAATTCACTTTCTCAATTAATTTTCACAGGAATTCTACACAGTATCAATTATTATTTCTATTTTACAGATGAGATTACTGAGCAGAAAGAAAGACATAACTTACCAAGATTTTCACAGATAATGACAGAATAGAAAATATTTTTCTTAACTAAATAAACCCACTTATACTACCATCTATGTATATGTTCTGACAACCAACGATTATCTCCAAAAGATGTCCTTGAACTGAGTCCACTACATGTAAGTCTCTGCTGAGCAGTGAAGTCTGTTAGCCATAAATCCCTATGGATGGCAGCAGCTCTGAACTTACTCGCTTGTGCAGACGTTCTGCTTCCTCTTGATACGCAGCTAGTTGCTGTTTCCATTGTTTCACATTGGCAGTGGACTCCAACAGGGCTGCAGTGAGTTTGGCATTATTTCCTTTGAGGGTAGCCAGTTCAGCCTCCCAATGTTTGCTGATTGCTGAACTAAAATAAAAGAAAATGCTATCAATTACATTGAATATTGTTACTTTGAAGGGACAGCAGGACTCAGTTCTATTAGTTTTATAGTTCATGGATGCTTCAAAGATAATCCAAAAAGTATAAAAACAACTATTTCAATGAAATGTTCCTAGTGAAGAAAACCTAGCAAGTGAAGAAAGCTTAATGTGAGCTAGTTCCCACTTTCATTATGACAGGTAACAGATATCTACAGGAGAGTTTCTACTCATTCTCTTTTGAGGAATAAACACTATATCTATCTATATAGGTATATATAGATATACCTATCAGCAAAACCTAATAATCTACTGTATATCTGAGGGAGATATCATTAAAAATTTTATTTCATAAAAACACAGTTTTGACATACAATATTAGTTTCTGGTGTATAACATAGTGATTTGATGATTATATATATCACAAAATATTCACCATGGTAAGTACAGTTACTGTGTGTCACTATACAAAGCTATTATTACATTATTTACTATATTTCCTAATCTGTACTTTTCATCCCTGTTATTTACTTTATAACTACAAGTTTGTACCTCTTAATCCCCTTGATCACCTACTTCCCCTCACTCCCCTTTTCTCTGGCAGCCACCAGTTTGTTGTCTGTACTTATGAGTCTATTTTTGTTTGTTTTGTTTTTTGATTTCTTAAATTAAGTTTATTTATTTTGAGAGAGTGGGAGAGCATGAATGGGGTAGGGGTGGAAAGAGGGGAGAATGAATCCGAAGCTCTGCACTGACAGTGCAGAGTGGGGCTGGAACTCATGAAATGTGAGATCATGACCTGAGCAGAAACAAAGAGTCGGATGCTTAACTGAGCCACCTGGGCGTCCCAAGTTTGTTTTGTTTTTTAAATTCCACATATAAATTAAATTATATGGTATTCTTTCTCTGGCTTATTTTATAGCAAAATACTTTCTAGGTCCAAACATGTTGTGGCAAGTGGCAAGATTTCATTCTTTTTTATGGTAAGTAAGATTCCATTTTGTATACATATATACACTATATTTTCTTCATCCATTATCCATTCATCTATTGGTGGACCTTGGGGTGTTCCATATCTAGGCTATTGTAAATAATGTGCAATAAACATAAGGGTGCATATATCTTTTAGAATTAGAATTTTCTTTGGGTAAAGACCCAGAAGGATCATATGGTATCTCCATTTTTAATTTTTAAGGAGCCTCCATACTGTCTTTTTAAAATACACTGTATTTTTTTAAGTGCATCAAAGCCTGAAGCACAATTTCATTCCTTTCTGAAACATATGAGGATGATTCAATGTCAATAAGGTATGGGACATGTAATGTAGTATTTCCTCTGAAATTATTATTGATTTATTTCATGCTATTCATAATTTTGAAATGCCCAAAATACAAAAAATTTGTTGCAATAAATTTATTTCAGATATGATGATAGGCTACAGCCCAGAAACTGGTCTTAATGACTTAATTTGATAGAATTCCAGTGTTACACATAGAACAAAAAAACCTAAAAGCAATCACCTATTTCCTCATTTATTGTTCTACTTGATAAGTTATCCAAAGTTAATTGCTTCAACCAAGACAATTTTTCTACTACAAAAACAATTCTATTACTCGGGAAGATTCTTCTTTTGATAATTCCTTTGTTAACTGTCCAATGAAGAAAGAATTGCCTCATTTGAAAGAAAAAGGTGTTTTTTTCTTATCATTGAACAATTTACTTTTTTTAGTGAAATTCTACAGACCTCATCCCATTAATTAACTAGTGATGATAACAGCTTTCCCTAATCTGCATTTTGGTTTTTGGTAAATTACCTGCATTACAAAGCAAATGCTTTGATGGACTGGTATTTTTAATAATAATTTAAAAAAATTTAAATGTCTTATTATTTATTTTTGAGATTAAGAGAGACACAGCATGAGAGGGGAAGGGGCAGAGAGAGAGAGGGAGACAAGGAATCTGAAGCAGGCTCCAGGCTCTGAGCTGTCAGCACAGAGCCCAATGCGGGGCTTGAACTCACAAACTGCATGATAATGCAGTGAACTGAAAGTTGGATGCTTAACCAACTAAGCCACCCAGGCGCCCCCTTAATAATAATTTAAAATGTATTATATAAAAGAAATCATAGCATCTATCATCAAGAATTTCTAAAGCTCATCACCAGTAATAAAATGTATCAGCATCATGAACCCTCTCATATGATGCATAGGGAAAGATACAAGATAATTTCTGTGGTATTCTTGTCAAAAATGCATAACCTTATTCTAATCATGAGCAAACATCATAAACCCAAACTGAGGGGCTGTCTAAAAAATAACTGGTTGGTATTCTTCAACAGTATCAAAAGACTGAGAAAAAGAATGGTGGAGATTAAGAAGAAATAATTAAATGCAAAGTGTGATCATTGATAGGTTCCTAGAACAGAAAAGGACAATTGTGAAAAGAGGTCTGCAGTTTAGTTGTGTGTTTAGTTATAGTACCGTGTCTATATTAATTTGGTAATTATTATGGTTGTGTAAGATGCTACCATTAAGAGAAGTTGGGTGAGGGGTACATGGAGATTCTCCACGTAGTTTTTGTAAGTTTTCTGTAAGTCTAAAATTAGTTTCAAATAAAAAGTTTTTAAAATTTTCTAAAGTTTACTGAAGTTTCCTCAAAACATGAATGAATAAAAATCAAACAATAAGCTAAGCTATTAATTTAACAGCCCACTTGTAGCCTTGAAAAGAAAACTCTTTTCTATTCGGTCTTTTGTGAAATGATGTTCCAAATTCAGGTTTTCTGAGTAAAGCATGCACCTGTTCTCACTTAATTACAGATTTTTTCAAAACCACCTACCATTTTTTCCCTATAAAGTTTTATTTAAACAGACCTTTTAATCTGCTAACTAAAATCTTACTGAACTAATTTAAACACTAGATATATGCAAATGTAAAACTCCTGGGGCATCTTTTGTTATATTTGGTCTTTTGTCTGCAGCCCCAGAAATCACTTTAGAGCCATAAAAGTGAAATGGATGTCTTGTTATTCACAACAAGCCCCTTTCAACCACAATTAAGTTTATGTTAATGAGGTGACTTTTAGAAACCTCCTAAAGGTGTGAGGGCTGGTGGCAGGAAGAACCCACCTTGATTACAGGGTTAAAACTTTCACTCCCACCCTCTGACCTCCAGGGAGAGAGAGAGGGGCTGAAAATGAAACGGTCACCAATGGCCAAAGAATTTATCAATCATGTCTATGGAATGAAGCCTCCATAAAAACCCAGAAGAGCTGCCATGTTGGTGACCCAGAAAGCATTCAAGTGCTAGGCCCCAAACTCCACAGGGGAAAAAGCTCCAGTTGTTAGGATCTTGCTGTATGTATTATTTCATCTGGCTGTTCATTCACATCCTTTAATATCCTTTGTAATAAACTGGTAATCGAGTAAGCAAAGCCAGTTCCTTGAGTTCTGTGAACTACTCTAGCAAATTAACTGAACTAGGTAGGGGGTTGTAGCTATCTCTAATTTATAGCCAGTGAATCAAAAACACAGGTAACAACCTGGACTTGCAACCTGGCATCTGAAGAAGAAGCAGTCTTATGGGACTGAGCCCTTGATATGTGGGATCTGATGCTCCCTCCAGGCAGTCTAAGAATTGAGTTAAAATTGTGGGACACTCAATCAGAGTTAATTGCTTGGTGGTACCAATCTATTTCCTGGATCGAAGCCATGGGTTATAGCTCCTGTTCTAGTCAGCTGGCTTTCCTGTGACAGTTTCTTCCTCCCAATTAGACTTTAATTTTCCTCTCTATGAATTTTTGCCCAAAACTTTCCATATTCAGCATCAATCTATAAGAATGCATTCTTCTCTTTCAGGGATTCAGGTCTTCTCCAACAAGTATTTTCTAGCTACACCACCGAACCTTCCAGTTCCCAGCACAGCTCGGTGCTTGTGTTTAGGTAAACACATTGACTATCTAAATGAAAAAGTAAAGGTATGAACTTATGAGCTAAGTACAAAACCCACCTAGGATTAAGCTGGTGAATATAATGAATAGTAAATGTTACAACAATTAAATCATAATTAAGTTTTCAATACTAAGAAAATTCTTAAATATAATTATTTTGAATCTCACATTAGGGACGGGATTTCATGCTAGCTTTAATTAGTAGAACCTACAGTTTCTTGATTTCTGTTTTAAATCAATTGATCAAGCATACAAAATATAGGAGATTTTATGTATAAAATTCAGATCTGGGACTTGGAGTATTTACAAAGGACCTGTTCAGGAAAAGGTTAGTATTCCTGACCAAATGCCTTGTTTTGTGTAATCTAGAAATTAAAAAAAAAATTTTTATTTATTTTTGACAGAGAGAGAGAGAGAGAATGGGCCCATGTGCAAGTGCACGGGGGAGGGGCACAAAGAGGGAGACACAGAATCCAAAGAAGGCTCCAGGGTCTGAGCTGTTAGCACAGAGCCCACCGTGGGGCCCGAACCCACCAACTGTGAGATCATGACCTAAGCTGAAGTTGGTCGCTCAACTGACTGAGCCACCCAGGCACCCCTGTGCTGGCCAAGCTGAACACAGAGAGAAAAAAATAAACAAAAAAACCCACCAGAGTATCTAAGACATGGGGACAATATCAAACTTTCTAACAAATGTGTAACTGGCATCCCAGAAAGAAAAGAGAAGAAAGCAGAAAAAATATGTGAAGAGACAAAGGCTGACAATTTTCAAAAAACTATAAAGGGCATTTAACTACAAACCCAAAAAACTCAAAAACATATATACAGAACAAAGGTAACAATTATAGTAGTTTCTCATCACAAACTAAGCAGTTCATAAGAGAACAGTGTGATAGTGCCAAAAGAAAACAATTGTCAACCCAGAATTCTACACACAGAGATGATACTTTTCTAAATGAAGGTGAAATAACAAAAGCTAAAGGAATTCCTTACCAGCAGATAACATACTACAGGAAATATAAAGGAAGTTTTTTAGACAGG